TATCTCTTCCCTTAAGTTAGCATTCTCCCTTCTCAAAGCAGAAAACTCAAGAGCATTTTTCTCCCTTTCCTTCCTCATTTCTATCATCTCTGCTTTGAGTTGCCTTAATATTGCAAAGAGGCTTTCATCACCACCTCCTTCCATTACAACTTCAGGAATCAGCTGATTAGGTGTAGTGTCCTCCTGGTGCCGAGAGGTTCCGTCTAGCTGAGCCTATCCGTCTTGCTGGCTTCTTGTAAGTACCATGTTGATCGAAAAAACAAGGCAATCGTGTCCCACGTCAGGCGCCAAAATGTTCCTATTAGGGAAATACTAGTTTTCAAGTTTCTGCTCTAAAACGGTGACGTCCTTCTAACTGTCGCTAACGTGGGGAGGGTACCTGCAAAAGGCACTCCGATGCTGAAGTCAGGATTCGGCTTTGAGCAATAAATGCTATTTAATAATGAAAAGTCAACTTTTTACCTGTACTTCCTACCTTCCTTTTATAGGCATTGTTATGGGCTAATGGGCCTTCTGAGTCAGTTTTGATTTTGGCCCTTTACTTTAAAGTAGATAATGCCCTGATTATTACGCTTAATTGGGTTAATTACCTTCTAATTCTGACAAAAAGTGTTCTGCCAAACTAAGCCGAATAGATACTCGATTTTCTTTTTCTATATGTAGGACCGAGCAGTTCTCTATTCAGTACAGATATCGTAATGTGAATCCTATGATGAAGATAAACCAGCCAAAAAGTCGTAGCTACGTCCTCTCAAATGTTATTGAGTATTAATAAAGTCGACAATAACCTTTTGCACTGCTAAAAAAAAATTAGAATTAGTGACAAATGAAATTAATATCTAATTATAAAAATGTGTTGCTGAAATTGGCAACAAAATTAGAAATGGACAAAAGTTCATAATTAATATAATTGTTAAATATTTAAATGAGAAAATTCATATTCCATCATTATTTGTTATGGATGTAATCTGTGGCTAAAATTAATCTATCGGTCATTAAATAATGAAATGAATGATTAGTTGTAGGCCGTTTTTTACTTTGCTAATTAGTGGCAGTGTTTTTTTTTTCCCTGGACTAATTACTGGCAATTTCATCTCTTATGTGTAACAGTGAAAATATTAGAAGTTATATTTTTGGTTTGATAAAATATTTTTTTTTTTAATTATAATTTTTTTTTTATTTTCAAATTTTTTTATAAATAAAAAAAATAATTAATTTCTTTGATTGTTTTATATGAAAATATTAAAAAGTAAAAAAAAAAAATAAGGCTACATTTTTATAATTTACCAGTTGGGATAAAGCTTGATTGTGGTTATTGTTACATTTTTATAATTCAAAGTAAAAAAGTAATATATTATCTCCAAGTATAGAAACCCTAATTTGTCTCTATTCAGACTAAAATCAAAAATAAAATCTTTACTGTGAAATGCTAAACATGATTTAGTTTTTTAGTTTCATCCTAAGCTATCTTTGTACTCACTTGCTTATCTTTAGATAATCCTAAATTTTCTTTCCCATTTACTTGAGAAGAAAAGCCAATAAAAAGCTAATATGTAAGGAAAAAAAAACTTGATTGTTAAGCCTATAGAGGTTAGTGTGAAAAGAATATTTAAAACGCTTTATATGCATTGTATCTATTTTGATATAATGAAAATTCATGTTCCGTGCAACAGAAACTGGACGTAGATGGAAACATTTTTAAAATCAAAGTGTTCGTTTGATTAGTTTTTCAAATTTTTGTTTATAAAAATATTTTTAAACTAACAATTAACACATGATTTCTAATAATTTGACTAAATATATACAGCATGGTGCGAAGATAAGAATTTAGGCATAATTATATTACAAATGTATATAGTTATTCATTCAATACCTACGTACGTAGATATGTATGATGAGAATTAATTTGTACCAGTCAGTTACACTTATTCTTCACCGTCAATACATATTAAATATCATTTTCATTTATTTGTTGAATATTAAATTATAATAATATATTTATTGAATTTTGTAAGAATTAAATTAAAATAAAGAAATAATTAAATAGTTCTTAATTTTTATATATTGTAAAAATAGTTCTTAATTTTGAAACTGGTTGGACCTTCTTGGGACTTTAATTGGAGGTTTTGGATTGTGGATATCCTTCAAATTTTTATTTTTTTAATGTTTTAATGTATGAGTTCTGTAAAGGTGGTGATATTATTATTAGGAATGTGCAGTTGGTGTTGTTTGATGAAATTTTCAAGAGGAGTTCGCATATTGGGGTTGTTAGTTTCAACATTTTGATAAGTGAATACTGTAAATCAAGGAATGTGAAGCAGGGTCTTAGATTGAAGTTGGGAGGGTAGGAAGCTTGTGAATGAGATGGGTGCAAGTGGTTTGAAGCCTAATAAGAACACTCTCACTATTCTAAAAGATGTTGCAAAGATAGATTGAAGAATTAGAATTAGAAGAGAAGGAGTTTATCAAACAGAAAAAAGAAAAATTGAAAGAGAAACAGATGAATTAATTTTTAAATTTTAAATATTAAAGACTAAATTTTAATATATTTTTTAAAGACTACTTCTAAAAAATATTATTAGAGAAAAAGAATATAATTGAGTCATTTAATGATTAGTTTTAAAATATAATCATTCAATAAGAAATTATTATAAAGAGAATACGACCGGTGTTAATCCTTGTGGTATCATACGTGTGTATGCTTTATTTAAGGTCTTTCAATTTGATGACAAAATAAACAATACATCACATCATTAACAGCGATAACAATTGAAGTAGGTAATTTTATAAAGTAAACTTGGTAAATTTATCCTAAAAAAATATATAGAAGATGGAACAGCGAGAAATAGACAAACAAAAATATACAAATAAAAGTTCATGATAATATAGGATATTAGCCTAATTGTCGACCGTGATATGTTAAAGTTCAAAGGTCACTGAAACCACACTTACAAAAGTTAATTAGATCATAGTATGGCAATTTTATAATATTACAATATAAAATATTGCAAAACATAATATCAAACATGTTATAATTTGAAAACTATATAATGTTACCCTTCAAAATAATATTGTGTTTAATAATTTATACAACAATTTTAGAGCATAAATTAATTGAAGGATGAATTCGAGAACAAAAAACAAAACAAAACAAAAAACATTTCTTTTAAAATAATTTTTAAGAAAAAATTTCTCAAAATAAAATTGTATAAGAAAATGTACTAAAAGTTTGGTAATTATTAATTGTAATGGTCTGTACGTTAAGAAATTCGTTTAGGATGTAAAACAAACTTATTTAATATTTATAGGTATATAAATTAAAAAAACATAAATATATTTATAAATAAATAATATAAATTTAATTATATTTTTACAAACTTTATAATTAAGATTAAAAATATATTTTTTTATTTTATATTAATTATTTTATATATAGTGAAATTATTTTTTAGCCAATTTAATTATATAATTTCTTAGAATTTTAATAAAAATTTAGATCATAACTATTATAATAATAACAATAATAATAATTAAGTGATTTAGTGTCACTTAAGCAAGGTGCGTGACTAGAGTTGATCTGAATTAAATCGGATGAAAAATAAAAAAGTTATATATATTGTTTAAAGATTAAAATTACTAATAAAATATTAATTAAAATATTTATCATATAATTTAAACACAATAATTAAATATCTTTATTTATATTTTTTCTATATAAATGAATAAAAATAGATATAGATTATATTTAATAAAAATCACTTGTAACTTATTAATTTGGTTAAAAAGCTTGAGCTATTTAGTAAGTTAAGAATAAAATAAATTAATAACTTTAAAAAATAATTTTTAAAAAAATTTATTTAAACTAACATTTATCTTTCAAATTAACTATTAATATTTTTAATTTTTAATTTTTTAGAGTAGCTTATTTATATATAATTAAAATTTGATATACATTTATTAAGTGTTATTTTTTCTTTTCACATTCATAGTAATTATATATATTTTTATTTATTTTTATCTATTCTCTTATCTCTTTTATTTAAATATGTTTTATATTTAAAAATATAAAACTTAAATATTTTATATTCAAATATATAAAAAAATTATTTTATATAAATATTTAATTAATTGATTATAAATAAATAAAATAAATAATAAAACCACTTAAGTATACAACTTTCGGCTAAAGGCTCAGACCTTTGGTAATTCATGATAAGTATAACGATAATATGAAAAGTAAAGAAGCAGTAACGGTATGATGAGCGTCGTTATCGTAATAATAATAATAAGAACGATAAAAACAACGTCACCTCACTCAAAATTTTATGCTATCGATCATCAGATGTCCTGTCATGTGTTGGATACACGTCATGATTCCAATTGAATTGACCACCGATTTCTCCAACGACAAATGATCGAGCTTGAGTAACAGCTAGCGAGTTCAAGTTTCATCCGTATCTAAGTGGATATGAATGAAGACAAATAAACACAGTAATATTGAACTTGCTAACATCTAATATTTGAGAAATATCTAGATGCATAATGAACCCAGAAGAAACAAACATGATCCTATAATGCAAGATTCTTGCCACGTCTAAATTGATATTCATCATCATCAAAAATAAATTTTATAAGCCATAAAAATTATGTGTAAAAAACTTTATACAATTTAAATATTTTTAGATATAAATTTTAACTATAGTTATTTATTTTTGTTTTAAATAATATGCCATAAAATAATTAAACATAAATTATTTAAATTGTGTAATATTTTATTTACTTTGTAAAAAACTTTAAATTGAATAATTAAATTAATAATCCTCACTTTTATACAAATTATTAAATATATTATTTTGCAAAATTTGACACTTGCCCTCTATATATAAGAAATTGTAAACTAAAAACTTTAATCCCCTTAAATGAATTCACTCAAGTCGACTTAAATAGAATATAAAGTAACTTTTACGTGGCGAACATGTAAGAGAAAGAGATTCATTTTCAAGAAATGCATTTCTTATTTAGAAAATCTTAAAAGAAAATCTGACTTAACTATGGCTTCTTGACTTTCAATAACAAAAGACATTATATGCACATCCTTCCACAACATACAAATTTTGAAGTCAATGTCTCACCACAAGTTCATAGCCAAACTTGGAGTAAACACAATTTTTACATACAAAATGTCCTAAGCTTTTCACATGTAATTCGGAGAAACTCGAGTGTCACCAAGTTGAAGTTGTTCTATGATGCAGTAATCAACATAAGCTTTATCTACAAGAACTACATTCTCCTTCACTTCTCTAAACCCCATCAGAGGGCACATCCTCAAAGTGTCTTTTCTGTATGGCTCAATGAGCAGGATGAGGAAGAATGCTAATGGCACGGTGTGCATGGACAGCACAAGCACAATGCACAGATGTCAAATTGAGGCAACCACTCATGATGAGTGAGTGTCTTCCAGAACATGTGTGAAGTGAAGGGAATGAGTCACACACAGCCTGAACAGCAGAAGGTGTGAGTGCTGTGCATTGGCTAATGTTCAAAGTCCTTAGTCCATCCTCATCACTTCCACTTTTCAAAGATCCCCACATCCTATTATTCACTTTGCTTTGTGCCAAAGAATACATTGCTCTGTCTGTTATGTTTTGGCAATAGTACAGTCCAAGGGACCTCAGATGAGGACATCTATTTGCCAAGGCAATTACACTATCATCTGAAATAACAACACAAGAGTCAAAGGTTGTATTTTAATTTGGTGATAATAAAATAGCATTCAAATTGAATGGAGTAACTATTGCCGATTCGCTGAAATTTCATGAAACAGCTAGTTCCTGTAGTAATTATTTAAAGAATAACAAAATAAGATTAACAGATAATAGATTTTGAAACTACATAAATTACCCAGGTTAGATGGGTTTTGAATTAGTGCACTACGGTCTAGATATTTCTATTTCCCTTACATTTATACAACTCATCTTCAATTCCTTATTCAATGATTGATTTTTTCTTGTTAAGTAGTTTGTGACTTCTTTAAGTTTCCATGATTTATTATAACAAATTCCTTTGCATGTCCAAATATATTATCTTGCCTCATGTTTTGCAATCTCTTTCATTCACAACATGGAAACACAGAATTGAGGTATTTAGCCAAGAGATGAGAGCGCATCTGAACATGCGGTGCACATGGTGATCAAATAACATGGTATACGAGTCATAATATCTAAGGATGAAGGAAACAGCTATAAACCTGCTGTTTCATCCCTCCCATTAACCCTGAACATTCTACTACTGGATTTGCTTATTTATTAGCATGCGTCTCATGAAGCACCCACCTGAACCCTAGAACAAAAAAGTAAATAAGGAACAATATGAAAATGAAAGTTGTGCACAATGAATTTGAACAAGTGGAATCACAAAAATATGAACATTGCAATCAATTGACAATTATAATAGATTTAATCAACTGAATTTTGAATGAAATACCTGTTATAAGGACACAGCCACATAAGTCAAGTGTTCTAAGATCAGGGCACCCATATGCTAAACTCATCACTCCAACATCACTGACATTTTCACACCATCCAAGGTTCAAAGACTGTAACTCATTGCAGTAATGTCCAATTGCCTGCATGTCATTTATTTATTGGATTTATAATTCATAGCCATCATAAGTCTTCTATGATTGTGATAAACAACTGGCTCGTTCATACCTGTAATGCAATATCAGATGCAGCTTTAACACATCCACAGAGATTCAAAACTTTGAGTTTTCTGCGTAAACTGGCTAGGTAAGCCAGAGCTTTATCACTAAAGGCTGAACAACCACTGATGTTCAGTTTTGTGAGATCATGACAACCATGGGCTACGGCATACAGTGAACAATCAGTAAGCTTGAAGCTTTTGCTGAGGTCCAGGATTTGCAGGTCATGACAGAAATTTGCAATAGTCTCAACCGTATTGTCTTCTAGTTGAGGCTTGTCTTGACGAAGGATTAGAGTTTGCAAATTTGTGAACTTAGGAGCAAGAGAGAGGACCAAGTTATTCATGTTCTTGCTACACCTGAAAAAAGAGAAATTACAAAATCCAGTTGTTACTAGTTTTTTTCATGAACTACACAATACCACATGCATAAAGCACACATCAGTTTTTTTTTTTTTTAATATTTTAAAGAACTAAGCGGAACTATGTATGAACAATTAATGTCACCAAACAAAGTAATATCCATAGCAAATTGACCCAAAACCAGTAACTTCATCCTGTGATTCAAACCATGCCATAGTAAGTAATTTATAAGTGTTTACTTGACTTAGAAAGTTAAAGGCTAATGTTTAACTTCATGGCACACTGCATTCTTGAATCAATATTGCTGCATAGCAAAATTTATTCATGTAATAAACAACACAAACCAAGAACAATCCTGTTAAATAAACCGCTTAATTGTACAAAAACAGAAAATGATAGTTTTTAGGGTCTATTAGATTTGAGAAAACCTGTTTTCATTTCTTATTTTACAAATAATCACAAGAATATCACATTAATTTTCCTTTGTTTTCTCTTTTCAATGGTTCGTACAGAAAATAGGATTTTTGTTGCTTTTAATGTTTCACAAATGAATCTTTGAACTCAGGAAACAAAAAAAAAAGTGACATTTTTGTTGTTATTTGTAAAATCAGGAAATGAAAACAGAAATGTTTTCTCAAGACTAAGGGCTTGTTTGGTTTCTAGAAATCTTTTCTTATTTTATTTTCGGTTTTCACTTTTACTTTCAAAATTGACACTTTGTTTTCATTCTTGTTCCTGTTTTCTAAGATTTGTAGAGGAAACATTAAAAACAGAAAAAGTTATTTTCAGTACAAATCTTTGAAAACAGGAAACGAAATGAAAACAAAAAACATTTCGTGAAACCAAGCAGCCCCTAAACATCCTTTGGCTTTTCTCAGTTTTCACTTTTCACTGCCTCCTAATCATGTATCCCCTCAAAAGAGAAAACATTACAAGGGAAAAAGAACATATACCATGAGAGCGATAAACGAGTCAGGCCAAAGCAAATTGCCTCTCTCCACCCACGACAAACTTCAGAAGCTGTGATCACTGTTTGATCATCAACAAGTGACAGAATTTGCATCAAAAGCTCCACTGGAATATCCTTCCATTCCATGATCCCGCCAGCTTTCAAGTTCACTCCTTTCCCACTATCTCCATCACCACCAACCATCATAAGTTTCTCAAAGCCCAAGTTCAATACCCCACTCCTCAAACTCTCCTTGCCAACCATTTTCACCAATGTCAGAAGATACTCTTAAGCCCTTGTTTCTATAAACATAGAGTGAAAGTGACATCACACAAGGGAAAATGAAATTAATAAGGCATAACAAATTCCAGAACCTTGGTTTTCAGTATACAAGGGGTACCAAAACAATAACAAACACAAACCAAAAGTAAACAAACAACCAGAGAAAGCAACACAATGATAATAATAATCTTTGTTATAATATTAGAAAAAAAAGGGTCTAATCCGATAGGAAGAGTTCTGCACATTCCAAAAATACCCATCAAATATTTCTCAATCACACCATTAAGACTCACTCAGAAATGAATACAAGCATCAAAGTTGATTATCACAGAATGATGATCAAACAATCCCTCCTTAACAAAAATCGAACCCCTTTTGATCAAATTTGACATGCATATTAAAAAAACTTCCGTAATTCAAAACATAAGAGGAAGGACCCAAATAACCAGAAACCAAGCCGATCAAAACAAGAACTAAACCTTTTCTAACACACAACATTACATTATGAAGCAGCAACCCCACTTATTTAAATAATAAAAAAAAAGAGAGAGAGAAAACACTCCATCTATTCTAACTGGATTTTTTAAAAAACATATGCATAAGCAAGAATTGCAAATATGAAGGATCAATAGTAAAAGTGTAAAACAAAACAATATATGAGATGCAGAAATGACTAGTACCAGTACGTAGCAATAGAGAACTGAAAGTTCGATTTTTTTAATGGCTCTGTTTTAATAACCCCAATATACAGAGTGGTTTGAGTTAGTGGCTTTTCTGCAAGCTGAAAGTAGAAGAGAGGGGAAGGCTTAAAATTAAAGAAGAAAAGATATGGGAAGAGGGGGAGAGAGAGAGAGAGAGGTTACGGCGAAGAAAGCGACGCGTGTGATGCCACGTGTAGGTATGATGTGACATGTTTTGTGGACCCCACTAAAGCATTTAATATGATTAGAATGGAGATCAGCATCAAACTAATAGAAAAGAAAAAACAAAATAATATAAGAATGGAAACAACTTTGATTTATTCTTTAATTAAAAATAAAAAAATAAAATGCTTGTTAGGAAAAAGAATGAGAATGTGAGTGTAATGGAAAATGGGAATTGTGATGATTTTGGAGTGTGTAGAAGTTTCCTTTTGTGAAAATCCGAAACCGCGCGATAAAGCAAAAGATGCAATGTTTGAGGAAAGGGGATGGGGATGGGAAAGACAAGTCCTTCGCTGTGACGCAATTGCTTGTGTTTTCCTTGAAGTGGTTGGTTATGTTACTCTTCACTCTGATTCTTATCTTCCATCTCCGTCACAGTCACAATTATTCAGTAATTATATTTTTATTCCTAATAATGATATGTGAAATAGATTGTCTAAAATAAAAATAAAAGTGCAAGAATGAAAAAATGAAATAAAAATAAAATATTAAAAACTGGGTGTGAAAATATTATCTATCTTTATATATTTATTCAAATTGCCTTTAAAGATATTAGTAAAAAAAAAATTGCCTTTAAAGATTATCTTAATATGAGAATATTTTTATAAATTATTTTATTTTTTATTGTGCTATATAATTTTAATTTAATTTTTTATTTTATTTCATAATTTATTTTAAATTTAAAAATTTATATATTTAATATAATTTATTAGAAGAATAATAAATATTTATTATTAGTAATAAAATTATTTTAAATTAATAATTTAGAACACCCTCTTTTATTTATTTATCTATTATTTGATAATCTTTCTAATATTTGGTAGTGTTAGGATATATTTTAAATTGATTGGAAGAATGTTTATTTGAGTTTTGGTGTAGGGGTCTCACTCAAGCGAAACTAAGCACCTAGAATCACATATTTTCAGAGTAATCTTGCTCAAACAAGACAAAATAGACTTAACTCAACTATCCTTTTGCTTGATCTCTCTCAAGCAAAAAGAGATCTCACTCAAGCAAGGACTCGTAGAAAAAATGTCTAATTCTTTGGACGTCGTCTTATTCAGGCGAGAATATCAAAAAATGCTTGGGAGACAACTATTTAGTGTTCTTGCCCAAGCGAGATATGTCTTGGTGAAGCAAGAATCACCTCGCTCAAGCAAGAATGTGTGAGGTTGAGGAGTATTTAAAAGATTTCCAGCATAGAAAATTATTTTATTCCAAACCTTATATCTTCTCTCAACTTTCTTTGAACTCTCACTCTCTCCTCTCATATCAAACATTATCAAACTCTGATCACTCTTCAAATTCGAACTTGGACGTCAAATTTAAACGACTCCAAGTAAGTTTCTCTAAATTCAACTCTATTTTTTCCATTCGTTTCTCTTGTTTTTCATTTCTCAAAGGGTATCTCATGATATCCAAGAAAATTTTTATTGTTGAACTACAGTCTTCATCAATTTCTCTTTGAATACTCACCTCGAGGTAAGGAAAGCTTTATTTTATCATTTATTAAAGTGTATATTTTGTGCTTACGGGAGAATTATTATATGATTATTGTATGAGAATATATGTTTGTAGTACTTATGAGAAAAAGCTGAGGATATAAGTGTTTGATTATTTGGTTGGAGTAATCATGTTGTGTAGATATGAAAAACGTGATGAGAACTCAGTGTAAGGTGTATGAAAATGATGATGCATATTGAAAGTTTTGGATGTATTATGGTATATGTTGGTTGGAAATGGCTATATTTTATTGATAATACATGTTTGGAAATTTTATTTCTATGCTGTGAGTGAAAATGACTTAGTCTGCAAGTATTTTATTAAGTACGATCTTGTGATTGGAAAATGAAATGAATATGGGATGAGTATAAAATGTTGAATATGGGATGAATATAAAGTACTAGATGAATCTAGTGTGAATAATTATAAATATACAATAGGAGTATAGAGTTTGAAGACAATGAGAAATATGGGAGAAACGTAGGGTGGTGAGTGACATTCGTATATGTGTACACACTCTATTTGAGAGTGAATGCGTCATATAGTCTTACATTTGTTTCTTGACTATACTCCCGACTATACCTTTGCTAAAAGACTCATTATTGTATACATTGTATCTGTGTACATAGACTAATTGGCGATTATTTACTTAGTTGTGTAAGACCTTAAAAAATGCTGAAGGCATCATAATTATGTGATCATAGTGCATTACGAGTGCGTGTTTAAGAAAGAGATTTAAGGATTTATAATAAACTATGTAATGTGACTATGTGAGAATTGTTATTATGCTGTTTTGTGGTTGAATTTATTAAATGTTCTTTTATTCTATGCTTATAAGCATGTTGTGATATTAACTTTTGATATGAATGTATGTTTAATGACAATATAGATGCTCATCTTTACTAAACTTTTCAGGAAATAAGGAAGACAACACTCTGAGAATGAATTAGATTAATAAATAGTTATGTACAATATAGATTAAACTATGTATTTAATGAGTATTAGAGAATTTATTATTTTAAGCTAGCTATAGATTGTGATAATATACATTGTCATAACCATATTTTGGAAATGAAATTATATTATAGTATTTCCTTAGATTTTTTTTGTAAATAATAGGATTCACCACACCTTATGTATATATATTTATAAAAGTACGATTAGGACTCTAGTAGCAATGACCTACCCATGTACATACCACGACTATAATCATCTCAGAAGGTCGACCCAAATAACTTTTGAACAGGTCACGAGTGTTGAGGCAGATTTCTATCTCAAAATCTTGATTTTGAGGACTTAGCAAAGATAAAGAGATGACATGATGATGATTAACACTGAGTCTTCAATATTTTGGTAGATCATGAATGTTCTGTGATGTAATTTAGTTTGGTTTTATAATTATTATTTCAATTCCTACATATTTTGATGAATAATTTATAAATATTATTTTTTTCATAAATTATTTATAAGATATTTCAAATTAACTAAGTTTTAAATATAAAATATTTTTAATTATCTATAAATTATTCCAAATCAATGTTTAAATTAGTTTTTTAAAATATAATATTATAATAATTAATTATATAAAATTAAATTTTTTATTAAATATATTTAATAATTACTTATATTTAAATTAATATTATAAAAATAAAAAATAAAAATTTAACTAAAAAGTAAATAGTAATTACAAATTTACCGAAAGTATATTCCTTTTATTGAGATTGTTTTCATGTATTATAATTAAAATTTATTAAATGCATTCAAACAGCAACATTGTCGAACTTTTCTAAGATCTCAATCTTTAAAAGCAATCTAATTTAAATATTTTTAAATTTTAATTTAATAAACATTTCATTTATCTTTAATTTTAAAAAAGTCAAATATTATAAAATTATGGCCTTGGTAATAAATTTCTAAAATAATAAATTGATATAAAAATAATAAAAATTTCTTCATAAATTAAAAATAACTTATATTTTTCAAATTTTAGAGAAATTAATTTATGCGAAAAATTTATTTCATTTCACTATTTAATTTTTAGTTTATAAAAATTTATTAAAAAATATATCCAAATTTAACATACACCAAATTAACTTAAATATAACATAAATGTAATAACAAATATATTTACTTTTTGTAAAAGATTACTCAATCAACTTTACACTTAAATTAAGCTTCAAACTAATGAAAAGGCTAAATAATAGAACATTAATAATGGTAATAATAACTGTAATAATAAATATATTAGAAAAATATATATTTTTTCTTTTGAATTAAATTAAAAATTAAAAATTCAATTAAACTATTGCATAAACGAATAGGGTTCTTAACAAGACACTGCTAAGAGATGTGACAAAAAATATTGTTTAATGGTAAATTTTACCGAATTTTTATATTTAAAGAAATATTGTTATATTCTTTACATGGATCAATGAACAATAAACTTATATATTTATAAAATTCATCGAATAGGAGATATAAAACTAATTTTATTATCTAAATTTTCTTTAATTTTTAATTCCTATACTACAAAAAAAAAATTTAGGACTGTATTTTACTTTAATGACGATCATTAAAAATTATATTTGTTTAAATGGTAACAATAATTTGTATTTAAATGGTTATGAAGGTAAATTAATAATTTAATAAAATATATAGCTAATATTAAAATAATATTCGATACTTAATAAAGTGATATTTGATTTTAATTTTTAATAATAATAATATAAATTATATATATTAGTTTTATGTGTATTTAGTTAATATAAATTATTTTATTGGATAAAATTTAGTTTTTTTAATAAAAAACTAAAAAATACTAAAACTTGAATAGTAAAAATTATTTGTTAAAACGTGGTAAAATATATTTATTTAAACCAATTAATAAATTTTTGACAATTATATTTTAATTATTGATACTCTATCGTAATAATACATCTAACTATACATAAATTATTTTCTCGTTATAAATATACTTTATCTTGAGATTCATCAGACTTTTAAAATAGTATTTTCTTTATTAATTTTTTTTAATTTTATTTACCACGTAATGGAACAAGTCCAATTTAATATTGAATTTTTCAAATACACCGCATAAGATTCATTTACAAATATAAAATTCATTACACCATTAAAATTAATTTCAATTTATTTATGTTGGAATTTTAATACACATATAATTAATTTTTATTGATTAAAATTAAAAAGGTATCGGTACTCATTCGATAATTGGCCTAATATTTACATGTACTTAAAACAACATAGGAAAGAAGTAAAAGGAAAAACAAAAGAGGATGACAAAAATAATGAAAATAAGTAAAAAAAAAGTTTTATTAAAATAATTATAATATGTTTAAAAAATTAGAATATAAAAATATTTATTAAAGTAATATGATTAATTTTTGAAAATTATACCAAAAATATTCCAACTCATTTAATAGATATATCCTGGTATCAACAAGAGTAGTGAGTGAGTACTTGTAGATAGCAATGAAGGAGTCATTGAAGAAATATACCACAGAAAAATTGTCCGTGCAAGAGTACCCTTATGGATACAACACATTATGAAATGCTAAGAATTTAGAGAATGCGACGTAACGTGCTTATCCTACCCTATATATTTCTAACACAAATAAGGAGAATATTTAATTGAATGATATTAGGTTTGGATTCTGTTTGGTTAAGAGCTAGTGGTAATTTGACTGCAATAACTATGGGAATTACTCTATGGAAATGGCTTTTAAATAAAATTTTAATAATATTTGTTATAACATATTTTCGTTCACCTTTCTCAATTATTGTTTCGTGTGTTTAAGACGCTAACAAATAAAATTATTATATATATATATATATATATAAAGTAATTGTAAAGATAACTCAAAAAACTAAATTTTTAAAATAATTAGTATTAGATATTTTAATTTTTGAATGATGAATAAATAAGACTTTTTGTGTAATTATTTTTTTTCTCTCAAAATGACTAACATTTAACGAGCAAGAAAGAAAATATGCTTCGTGTAACCCACTTTTAATAATAGAAGTGATCACTCTATAAGCAACAAAATGAGACTTATTGCGTGTAACTACCACTTTTAGGAGCAAGGGTGAACACTCAAAGTCATAAAATAAGGAGACTTATTGTACCTAATTACTCTAGGTGACAAGGGTGATCACTCCAAAGGTAGAGAAAACATATAAATAATTTAAACTACATATTTTAGGAGATTTTTCTTTATTTTTTATTTTTTCAATTTTGAAAGATAGAAAGCTCTCTCTCACTCTCTCTCATTTTTTCATTTTTCTATTTCTCTCCATTAATGAAGGAGTTAATGTTGAATTGTTTTCTAATGTATATTTTTGAGAACGGTTCTCTATTAATTGTTCTTTAAAGTTATTTTTGAAGAGTGATTAATAAGAATGACTTTTCAAAGTCACTATGGATCACTAATTTCTAAAGTCTTTTTTCTCATAAATTAAAATTTTAAAATACCTAATAATTTCTAATTTATAAATAAAAGATGCTCAACTTACACTTTATAAATCTCTTAATCTTTCTTATATTAATAAAGTTGGTATCTTTCACACATTTCTCTGCATTCTCTCTTTCTCTTTCTTTTCTCTCTATTAATAGTAAATCATCATATTAATTTATTTATTTTTTTCTACTTACTAGTATTTGGTTCATGTAGGTATAAACTGTTTAATTGCGCAACATAGAAATTTAAGTTTCAACGCGTGAGACAAAGAATCAATTTTGACTTGCGATAAAAATGAAATTTTTTTGAATGTCAGATATACAAATTCAACTTTAAATATAATAATAAATTAACTTTGATTTGTAATAAAAAATTTATAAAAAAAGAAATTTTAAATTTATAGTTTATTTTTATATACATACCTGCTTTCTAAATAACATCTACTTTGAATAACTACGTAGAACAATTTGAATCACTTTTTAAAATAATACAAAACTACTTTTTAATGTCTTTTTTTTATTGTAATGTATTATAATACTCATTTCATCACACTAGAGATTTTTACATTTAGTTAATAGTGTGTGCACTAACAACTCTATGTAGTAGATAACTCTCTCCTCGTGCCTAACTTGTTACTTTTGCTAATAACTACAAAGTTCTACCATATGTTTTTTCAAAATGGATTTACCACTAAATCATTCTCAAAACAAATATTAAATTCATTTCCACGATAAAAAGAATTATAATTTTCATAATTAAACATCATCCAAACAAGTTAATAGTTGTTTCTTTCTCAATTTCATAAATATAATTGTTATGAACAATATATATAACACTAATTTTAGAAGGATCAAGAAAGGTTTTTAAAAAATCTCCAAGAATTAAGATTTAGACAACAATATTAAGATAATATAAATTAAATCATAATAATAAAAATTATAAAAATATATCACTATATTTAATATATACTCATAATAAGAAAGAACCAACTAAATAGTTCCCTCTGAATAAACACTCTAAAACTGCAAAGGAGATAACAGCCAACAAATTTGAAAACAAAGCTTTGAAAAAATATATAAAAAAAGTAAAATTCCTAAATTTGTTATAGAATACACATTTCTTAAAAATGAGATTATGTCAAAAAATTTTAAGACTTTGTATTGTTTGGCATATCCTAAAAATTCAAATAGAAAATTTCGTTTGAAACGGGTGATATAACCTTTATTCCTTAAGGCACTACCTCTAATTCTAAAACTTATCTATAGTTATTTATGTTAAAGAGAAAAAAAAATTGTGTTACAAAAGTTTTTTTTTTTAATCTCAAAAGAATGATTTAAAAGTAAAGAATAGAAACTTGAATAGAGAAAAAGAATGAGAAGCCAAAATAAAAAAAGAAAGGGGTAGGGAGAGTTGTGCTCACTTTTTATTTTGTTCCTACTTTTATTTTTCGAACGGTACATTTCGAACACAGTTAAGAATTAGTTAGTCTAGGTGTTTTTTGCTATTTTTAATTACTCATTGTATCTTACTTTTTATTACTCTTCCCAAGCTGTAAGTGCTTGTGTGCAACTTCCAACTTGCTGAGTGTTAGAGATATCAAGAAATTAAAAGTAGCTATTAGTTAGGATTAATCATTTCATATAAACCATTGTATGGTCTAATTGTACTTCACCTTATAACATTTTGTCAATAATATAAATTTTATTTTCTTCAATTTCGCTTCTCAAATAGGGTCAACTATTTCTTCACATGGTGAAGAAAGATTCATATCACTGATAGCAAAATCTAATGATTAATATTTATCTTTGTAGATTTCCATATAAGTTAGCTCTCTTCTAATACATACAACACACGCATATATATAACTCAAAATATTAAGATAGAGTTATTGAAAGGATACGGGAGTTAAAATAGGATAACACTGAGGGATGGGCATGGCACAGGAAATAGTAAACATAAGTTACAGGTTACAAGCATTGGTTTAAAACATAAGGACCAAGTTCAAGCACTGCCCAAATTTGACCACACAACAACCTTATTGTTATATACACACATTGTGATGTGTCCTTTACCAAGCAACTAGAGTCAGTAGCATGATTCTCAAATCTCATCAGGTCAAGAACCTTTCCAACAAGTTCCCAAAGAAGAAACTTGTTTTAGCCCATCCTTTGGTTTCTGGTGCTTTGGCATTAGCAGGTACCCTCTTAACATTAACCATCACTGTCTGGCCAATCTCTTTGCGTAGTGCTTCGATGATCTTCATGTCCACTGGGTTCCCAGATGCATCTCTCACATAGAACACATTTAGGCCTTTTTCCCCTATGGTTGATACACCTGCTCTACGAACTGTTAAGCCATTCTCTCTTAGAATCCTAGTCACTTCAGACAGCAACCCCACTCTGTCCTTTGCACATAGCTCAAGGCTCACTCCCTGTGTCCATCATCCAGAGGATCATTGGTAACAACACTATCATGATCATGATGGTGATGATGATGATCATCTTCTCTATGTCTTGAACATTTATTAATGGTATCAAGAAAATAAAAATATCAAATAGAGAAGATGATAATGCTAACAATAATAATAATATGCTGGTCCAGCATACGACTAATAGTGACATTTTGTCACATAAACTCAATTTGCATATTATAAAAAACAAAACAAACTTTCCCTTAATTTTTTAATTCAAATTTTAGTTGTTTTAAGGTTATAGGGATGTGGATGAGATGATATTACGTGGAGCAAAGGTTCTTAAGGCTCTAATGCTCTATTTGAAGACAAAAGACCATCACTGTCACCGATTCATTAGGTGGATATAATGGTCAGACACAATCTGAGTGGAACTTAGCCCCATATATCTGCCGTACCATTCGCAACAATACAAGTAGATAGCTGCATTTGCAAAATGTATTAATTCGGTTAAACTCAGAAGACTTTCTTATGTAGCGAAAGAAAGAGGGTAAGAAAGACAGAAATGAGCAGCACAAAAGAATAGTAGATCGGTGACTTCAGATGAAGAGGGGTCGGGAGAAAACTAATGTAATAATTAAGTTCCTTAATAGAGCATAGAATGAAGGACTTACGAAGAGTTGAGAACCTCATGTTCATCCCTGTCTTCTTATTTTTTGCTATTCGGTTACAGAATCATACAGAAACCAATTTTAAAATGCACATTACCTCGCTTACTCTTCTTTGAATTGCTGCTTCAATGCATTTGATGACCCTTTCTTTCTCTCCTTCAGTATCAAGTGTGCATCCATCCATGTGCCGGATAAAGTACTCCTAACATTGCCACCTCAACACTTTTAATCCACTTTTTTCAATTTGGACTTCCTACTACTTGTTCACTTAATTAATCCCTTCTATCAATTATTTCAACTTAGCAATTTCTCACAAATTACTAATCGTATTATACCTGTTACTTATACTCGTATCTTTGAAACATAGAAGTTAATAGTTTAAGTTATCCCATGAAGCTAATAACTCTATGCTAAGTATACTAATGAGATTTTGTGTGTAAAAAGTTTATGCAATTTTTAATATAATGTCTTAACTTTATTAGTCCACCCAAAATAATTCCACAGGATAACTTAGACAAACTCATCAAGTACAAATATGGATTTTTGTTAATAATAAATGATGTGTACCTGAGAAGCATAAGGCCCTTCCGATGAGATTGTAGCATGGAAAACAACATACTGCATATCAGTGAGAGTGCAAACAATGTCAAACATCAATTTTGCCCGATCTTTGCATCTCAAACTAACCACTGAGTAACCTTTTTCCTGACAACGTTCGATTCTGATTTTTGGCCTGAAAGAGGGAGGACAATCAACATCTGTTGTTGTCACTCCAGCACTTTCATAGTCCCTATCAGCAAAGAACATTTGGTGGAGCCTCCGATCCATATGGGTGGAACCCATTGAGAAATTAGTCCGAGCCACTTTCTCATCATCCTCACATCCACGCAGAATGTGGTTGAGTTGCTCCTCCATAATGGACAATCTTTTTGAGTCATCCAACGCTTGGTTTGTAGCATCATTGACGTAAAGGACACAAGCTATTCTCCTATTATGGGTCCAAACTTCAGCTGCTATCACATTGAATTGGAGGCTAGCAAGCACAGCTGATATCTCAGATAAGAGACCAGGGCGATCTCTACCAATGAGCTCAATGGCTGTGTGATCACCAATTGAGTGCACTCCAACCCTTTTTCCTGGCCAACTTTTCACCCCTTCCGTGCTTTGGCCTTTTGGTCCTAGAGCCTGTTGTAATGTTAACAAGTAGTCCTCAGTATTTGATGTGTTTAATGTACTTATGTCACAACAAGGATGCCATATTTCTATATTTAATTCAGGGGAGTTACTTGCATGAACCTGATCAATTGTTTCATTTAGATGTTCCTAAGTGAGTTCATGATGTCTCTCCAAGTTAGAATGTGATCTAGAGACTCAAAAATGGGAGATGGGTACGAGTCATATCTGTTTTATGATGTAGTCTGAACCCAAGTATCTGGTTTATACTACTGTCAAATTTTAATTCTTTTGAAAGAACTAAATAAGAATTGGCAATCAAGTACTTTTAATCCCTTTCGTTAGAAAGATAAAGCTCATTATCCCATACAACCCTCCACTCTAGCACACTCTTTCAAAGACATTATTTATTATTGGCTAAAATTTATTAGAAATAATAAAATCATGTGTCTCACTACTAATTTAATGATTATTACTCATACTTTTATTGTTTTTAATAAATTTCAATCAATAAAAAATGTGTTATTACTAGCACTCCTCATCATATAAATATAGAGGAGAAAGCAGATGTATACCTTTTCAATGAAGTCAATAGTTTTGCTGTCTGTTATCTTCTTTCCTTGCTGATCCGTGACATGAAATACTGTTTATTTCGTAAGTTAAAACATGTTAACTACTTGTTTGAATAGGGGGTGGGTTTAGCTATAAACTCAATTCAAATTCATTTATAAGACAGTGTTAGGGTAAATATGTCCAAAGAAGTAAGAACTTCAAATATACTGGTTTCTGTCCAAGTACTTAATGTATAGCACACAATGAATTTCCCTTTGTGGCTCAAAGATGCAAAGACACCATGATAACAAGGAATGTTCACAACAGTTACCAGCTTTTATTTGGGTTAATAACAAGCATGAACAGGACACATCTGTGTAGTTAATGCATTACCGATTCAAGTTTCAATCGCGAACATACCATCCATAAACCATCCACCATCAGAAGATATGTAAGCTTTGGTGATTATGAAGTCAAGGTCTGTCAGGGTCTGCACAACTTCCAGCAGGATTCCAGGTTTGTTAATACTATCGAACTGCATGTTTTTTTTTGGAAAGCAAAGAAGAATCCATTAGATGTTTGCATCAATTAATCATCATGTTAATGATTTTTCCAAGAACTATGGAAAAAGAATGATCTGAAGATGCTGGCTTCTTGGGGTAGCCTAATGTTTTGCATAACTTAATCTTTTAGTTATCTGTTCAGTAAGCTTTCAATTGAAATTTGTAACTATTGTTGTGCACGGTTTTTCAGGTTAGAACAATGAAGCAAATATTGCTAAAGATAAGCTTCTATAAAGTAGAATAATCAAAGGCAACCCATAAAGTATCACAAGTGGGAAGATTAATGATCATATAGTCAAATCAAATTGGCTAAAGATTTTTGACTTTATGTTAGAGAATTGACTGAGGGTTCATAAATTTTCATTTGTCATGTAAGGATGAAGTTAAATTCAATGAAGTTTGAAAAACCTAAAAGCTGAAGGTTTCAATAAACTTCTAAATCCAATTGGACTAGGTTTCCTAAGAAGCTTGGGTGCCAAATCACGACTCACAACTAGACCATGAAAAATATCATAATTAATTATTTTGAGAAATTATACCTTGATCAGTGTACAATCATGGCAACTATCATTGTCCACAGAGACCCTGCGAAGTCGAAACAGAGTAACCATCAAAGAGTCACTTCTTTTGGGTGTTAGAAATTCCCATCACATACCCCAATTTCATTAGGAGTTTAACCTCTGACTCTACTAGGGATTGAACTGATGACATCTTCCTTATAACAAGGACTAGTTAAGAATTAAAGAAGCTTCTAGTTTTATGTTGTGATGTTCTTTTACAATCTATTTTTCTTGTTTATTGTTAAGATTTAAGACTGAATTGAAGCAGTTAGAGTTAAGAGACACGGGAAAAGAAGAAAATGTTGAAATATTCATGAATGAAAGACTTAAATTAGACCTTCGTATAAAGATTTCATAATCCCTATTCTTTTGCTGTTTCCTAGTAAAGAGTCTACATAATTTCAATATCATTGGAAAAATATAAAAACAAAAGTTTCAAGGGAAGATAACAGTGAACCTTGGAGGGTTGATTCTATTGCTGAAGTTCTCATACTCTGGATCAAAATATGGCCAACAAACTTTTGCCATTCAATCAATCTCTCAAGTCACAGCTTGCCTAATTTCTCCTTTATCAAAGAGAAGGTGGTCTAGTAAGAGGGAGAAACAGAACCATTACTTTTCATAATCTGCAGAGTCCAAGACACAATAAGCACATAGATACAGCATACAAAGCAGGTCAAAAGTAACTAATGAAACCATATACACCAAAAGATCTTGATCCAAAAGTCATGTTTTCTGTTTCTTTTGTTCTTTGTCCAATTTAATGGAAAATATTGTTGCACTGGTACATATCATCAACAGACAACATATGTAAAGAACTAACCAACTGAATTGTACCCTTCCAAAGATTCCATCCTCATTTAGATGAATATGTTATGGTGCAAAACAGTTTTTATAAAAGGTTTAAGTCATTGGTCCTAAAAAATATCACGATTTTTTTGTTTAAATGATAATAATATTTTATTTCATTTTAGTCTGTAAAAATACAAAAAAATATGTCACGTACTACTTTTAACCACTAATAACTTACTCAAATTGGAGCCTGTTACATTTGCCATACAATAATAATAAAGTATTATTCCACTATCTCTGAATCCACTTTATTTACGTAAAATTTTCTTACAATTTTAATGTTTACTAGATATAAAAAATATTGGTGGATAAGCAACCAATTAAAATATATTAAATAAAATGACTATAACTCTGCACTATCAACAGTTTATAGACAAATAAGTGACTTAATCTTAAAGCTTATTCTCTTTCGGCCTTCTTGGATCGCACCTATATTTAAATTCTAATAATATTCACAACCGTAATTTAAAATTATGATGTCAGCGTGGAGGTGGTGGAGCACTACTTAATGTGCAATGCTTTTAAGCACACATTCTATGAGCATTGCTCGTATAGAAGAATCCACGTGCTTGCTTTCTTGACCTTTGAACATGACTTTAGGAATAATAAGTTAAACGCTGAACGTTCCGTGTCCAGTAGATTATCAAATGCAGAGAGAGAAGAATAAAGAGGCTATAAGTATAAGGAGAATCATATCGTGGCATCACTAAAAGGAGACATTTTCGGTGCAAAACCTGGATGGGTACATTGAAGAATCTAGTGGAGTATATTAATGCCATAGTGGAAATGGGGAAAAGAAAAACGCTTACCTTTCGCTTTCGTTTGAGAGAGCATCATAGTGAAGCTATTTACTTTACAAACGAAGAAACAAGTTCACACAATTAATTGATTTGCATCATAAAAAGAAAGATGGTTCGTCTGGTTGAGAGCTGATCGTTACTCTTTTTTCTCACTTTCAAGGCCAACAAAAATGTAGGGATTATTTTCTGGATTGTTGCTTTCTAGCCACAACTTTCAAGTCCACGTGGTGAATACTGAAGGGACTTTGGTAGGGTTTGGAAGGGCATAGGGGAAATATATGATGCCCAAAAGAATGAAACTAAGCATTTGGAAGTTGTAACTCCAAAAAAGCAGCAAACAGCCAAACACTTAGGTGGGTAACTGAATAGAATCTAAAATGTCCGACCAAAAATGACTTGAAAGCGACATAAATAATTGATTCCAACTTTAATCGGAATCCTCATTTTGTTTCGCTTTCTTTTGTGAATTTAACCATCACACACACACACACACGCACGTGTCAAATTGCCATCATCGTATAATCCACAATTATTCCATGATATAGAAAGCTCTCCAGTCACCACCGTTCAATCCCACGACTTAACTAAACGAGTCCAGATATCAGTGAAATGTTTCACTTTATTGAAGTTTTGTTCATACATTTAGCTAAATAAATAAATTTAAAATTAAAACTAATTAAAATGGTATTTATTGTGATACTGTAAATTTGAGAGAGTATTTTATACTTTTCTTTTTAAATTAATGACTATAATATTTTTAATATCTTAAAAATAAAAAGTGTTAACGACTTTTTTAAAGTATCATAAATTTTACCATTATATAATTATATATAAAATATTAAATAAATAATTCAATTGTTAGATTATTTAAACCTCATATTTACTGACTTGTGTGTTAACTTATTCTAACTATTTATAAATAGTTTGTATGTATGTTTAAATAATTATAATTTTATTTATTATATTTATTTTTAAATTATAATTTTGATTGCTATCAACTATATAGGTAACTTTTATCTAATTTTAATTTTAATTTTTATTTTATTATTATTTTAATTTAATTTTTTAGCATAAAGATATTTATTAAAAATAGAATTTATTTAAAGTTTGTTAAAGAAATAAGTTAAAAAATCTAATAAATTAAACTTAATTTTCAAAATTTTTAATATTATAAAATTATAACTTTAAATATGTCTCATTTAGATAAATTAATTAAATTTAAATATTTAGTTTTTTACGAATCAAGCTTGGACGTCAAACAAGTTTACATTTCAATTCGTGTCCTTTATACCTCTTAATAACACCCTTTTCTGAATTTTATTTCTTATTTACATATTTAGGATATATATTTTTTTAAGGTTACAAATAGAAGCATCTAACAATTCGACATGTGATGGGAAGAATATGAGGTGTATCCCGACATATGCCTTAGAAAAAAAATTCCATGATTTTATTGTTGAAATGATTTGTGACATATGCTTTTGTATTTATTATTGAAAAAAATTAAATATAATTTATAAAAAAAACAATTATATGGCTTATTTTCTCTTTTACTTTAAAAAGTAATCGAAACACAAGTAAAGAGTATGTTTTTATTAAAAACTACCAGGATACGAAAGAAGAGAGTGAGAAAAAGTAAGAGTAGGATTGTTTTTTGTTTTTAAGAACATTTAAAAAAAAGTAAAAAAATTGTTTATTAACGTAAGTTTTTTTTTATTTTCTTTTAAAAATATTTTTTAAATTGTTTTAAAATATAAATTTTAAAAATTAAAAACTAAAAACTAAAATAGAAACAAATAAGTCTTAAGATTTTCATATATTTTTTAATTTTTAATAAATTTTAACCAATGATTAAAAATGTTAAAAATAATGTGTTAAATAATAAATTATTAACATTTCTTTTTCACATTTTTTTTAAAAAAAAGACATTACAATTTTTAAGAGTGACCAGAGGAGATAAAAAGAAGGTACAAGAAGAGAAAAAAAAAGGTACAAGATGAGAAAATCGATAACCAACGGTTAATATTACATTGATGCCTATGAAACAAATATTCTTATAAACTATAATATCAAATTATTGAATATATCATGTCAAAATTTATTTTGATTATACAAATTAATTTTTAATCAATAATGTGTCAATAATTGATTATAATAAACTTGAATGTACTACATGTATTCAAAAGTACACATTTCCAAACTTAGGTATACAAGCTACATAATTATCCAAAAATTAAGAGTAAAAAGAGTGAATAATCAAAATAATTTCAAACAATGATTTTTAAAATTAGTTATTTGAAATTTTGAGACATTAAATTTCTTTTTTCTTTCATATTTAAATTAGATAGTAATTCAGTTCTTTAATATACTTTAAACATCAATTTAACTTTAGATCAATACTAATTTTTTCATATATAATTGAAATAAAATAAAAATCAATTTAGTTATTTTGTTACTTTATTTTCTAATTACAATATTAAATTATATACAAAAATTAATTACAAATTTTTTATTTAAAATTATTAGTAAGTAGTGGTGGATAATAGTAATAACAAAGGTATATAATAATAAAGACATGAGTGGTGATAATAATGATTTAGTAGTAAGACAGTAGTAATAATAAATAAGGATATTTAGGGTGATAATAATAAATATAAGAATGATAATAAAAATGAATATGATAACAATAATCTTCTAGTGTTTGAGCTCATGCGCTTCCTCAGTTGAGAAAAGGTACAACTCATAGGATTATTGAATAGCGAAGATATATATATATATATATATATATATATATATATATATATATCCAAATGGAAACAATTAATATTAATTTTGAATGATATGCAACACATCGATGATCAGAATTGGGTGAGAGAACCCAACCAGCTGAATTCAATATTCAACAATCACAGTTCACAAAGAAGTTGTAGAAGAAAGTGCATACCTTTTATCAAGAAAAAGAAAGTGACTTCAAGACCAACACAAATCTATAGCTCTCAATTGCTCACATCCTCCAACCACGCAGCGCAGAGAGGAATGAGAAATAACAGAACAAAGAACTTTAGAAGAAACCTTAGTGCCTCTGTTATGCTGTCTTTGTTGGAAGTAAATGGAACAGCACTTGGGGGCCAAGAGCAGGGGAACCCATTAAATAATAATAATAAACTTTGGTTGATATTTATCATTTTATTTTATCTACTACTAATAATAAATATAGACCCAATTTGAATGAATTTTAAAAATATTTTTCAAAAAAATCAGTATAAAAAATGAATAAATTTTTTCTTAAGTTAAAAATAATTTATCTTTTCAAATTAAAAAAAAAAAGCTTCTCCAAAATTTTATTAAAAAAATTATTTTTTATATTAATTTTTTCCTTCGATAAAACCTCTCTAAAAGTTTGCTTGAATTAGATTGCAGTCGTTTGCTCACACTAAAGATATTCTTAACATATAATCTCTTTTGAAATATAGAGTTAACCAAAAAAATATGTTAAATATGGTTGATTATATATTGAAAATTATTTTTTAAATTTTTATTATAATTTATTTGTATACAATAAAATTTAAGTTTATGTTGATTTTATTAAATAATAATAATCTTTACTAAATCTCAAATGTTACTTTAAAAAAAATAAAAATTTCCAATTATTTTTTAAGAAAAAAACAATATCACAATCATATTTTTAATCAAAATAGACATTTTAATATACTCTTATTTAAAAATAAACATTTAGAGTCTAAAATGTGTAAGATTAAACATCTGTGATGCTCTACTATTAAAACTGAATCAGCTTTGATATTATGTTAAAATAAATAAAATCTAACTCAATCTTAATAGAAGTATTTTGGCCAAGTTTTACAAAAAAAAAACAAAAATATTTTCACTATATTCCTTACTTAACTTGCATATATAGAAGTAATTAATATCTAAATTATGAGGTAAGAGTATATTAATATATGAATACATATTTTTAAAAGAAATATTTATTCAAATAATATTAGTTTAAAACTGATTATTAACATGAGTTAATTGGACATTATTGTAAGAGTGTGTAATAAAAACAAAAAGTTCATCACACCATAACG